CCGCCGCCATCTCCTGATTCCATAATTTGCAACAATGACTCACAGAATTAAAAAACAAAAACAAAAAAAAAAACTGCTCTGCTTATGATTACAATTTTAATATAAAGGATGCAATTCAAGAATGAGGAGAGGCAAAGACAAGATGTAGGGGTAGGATGGTGCAGAGCTTCCACGCCCTCTGGGTATCACCCTCCTAGCACTTTGGTGTGCCCAAACCCCATTGTTTCAGGGCTTTTACATGGGGTTTCATTACCTAGGCATGGTTGTTTAAACCATTGGCATAGGGGCTGGCTCAGTTGGTTGATTAAACCATTGGTCGGTAGTTGAACTTAATCTTCAGCCTCCTCCCCTCTCTGGAGGTGGGGCCAGTCCTTTCTTTGAAACTCTGAAAGGCTCACCAGCAATCACCTCACTAGCATAAACTCTTAGTATTGTTGACAGGGGCTTTTAAATTATAGACACTCCTATCAGGAGGTTTTAGGAGGATTTAGGAGCTCTGTGCCTGGAACCGGGGGCAAAAACCAAATACGTTTTTTATACCACACTGAGGCACAGGGAGATTAAGTAACTTGTTTAAGATTGCCATATGTGATGGATGAGATTCAAAATAATATTTTTTTTGAGATTCAAAAAATTTTAACTTATATATATTAATGTATACTGGTAGGAAATACTCCAAAATGCTTAGAGAGTTTAGGGTATGGGATTACATTAAAATATTTTTTATATAGGATTATAACATTATACCTACAGCAGCATATGAAATCTAGCTTTAATATAACGTGGAGTAGAAATACTACCTTATTTGAAAATCCTGAAGTTGTGGAACATACAGCTGAGGGACCTCCTTTTATAAATGAGGAACTATGATCCAAAGAACGAGATCTGCCAAAATCATACAGTGGGCTAATGACAGTGGGCTAAAATTAGAATCCAGCTCACCTCTTTTGTTTTTGTCCATCTCATTTTTCTAGAGATCAGCTAGATGCTCTTCTGCTCTGTGTTTATGTAGGTCAGATACAGGCACAGATTTCATAGCTTTCATATCTGTTGACGATCCTAGCCCTTTACTCAGAGTTTCTGATTCTATGTAGGAATCTTCAGCCCCACCCTGCACTGAGCCTAGTATTTTGGCTTGGAGGAGGGTACTTCTTGGATTAGAGGCCCAGAAGGGACTCTCCTCTCTGCCTCCCTGATCTAATGTTGGACTTCAGGAGAGGAAGAAGATTAAATGAGAGTATAATTTCCTTGTTCATCTCTCTTCCCAAGTTACTGCAAAGACTTCTCCATTACAGGGCTCTGTGGACTGCCCCACTCTGGAATTTGAGTATGGAGATGCAGATGGGCACGCAGCAGAGTTGTCAGGTACGAGGTAGAGACGGGCTGTGGAGAGGGGAAGGATGGCCACGAGGAGAGGGCCTGGGTCTGTGATCTCTCCTGGCAGCTTATCTGTTTTCCACATTCCCATCTGTCTCCAACCTCCAGCAGTAAATATCTTTGCTTTTACATTTCTTCCTGTGATTTCTCCTTTGGCTACAGTATTCTCCACTTTCATTCTATCACTCTTTTCTGCTTACCCTTCTTTATTCTCTTTTGGTGCACTCTCAAATCCTTTTTCTTTCCGTCTTTTCCCCACTCCTCTTGTTTCTCATATCTTTGCATGCGTGCCCCCTTCTTTCTGCCACCCTCTCCCTTTCTGTCTCTCTGAATTTTTAGTTTAGGCTAAGTGTGATCCCCTCACATTAAGAGCCTCCACGTTACACGTGCTATTAATACCAGTTATTAATAAACGAGCTTTGGGTGGAGATGGTGTGAAAATTAAATATTCTGTCACATGGAAGTGACACTTTGAGACATGCTTTTTCAGAGAAAAGAGACAGACAATTTTAAAGAAGTTCTTGTGAATAAGCACAGGGAATAAATTTTGTGATGAGTGACAGAAATAGCTGAGTTTAATAACCGACAAAGGATGAACATTCCTAATAATATATATAAATAAATACATTTCATATATGTATGCATGTGTATGTGTGTGTATCGAGAGAGAATAGAGGAAAAGACAAGTAGTCAAGGAATATGAATAGGAATTCAGAGAATAGAAAACCATATGGTCAATAAATATATGAAAAGATGTTCAACTACATTAGTAAATGAGGAAAAGCAAATTAAAATAATGAGATATTTCACATTCATCAGATTGCAAAACTTAAAAGCCTGAAGTTGGCGAGGGTGCAGAGAAATGAGTACTTTTATACACTGACTGGCATGAGAGAGCAGAGCATAAAATTGGAAAGCACTTTGGTCATATCTAGCAAAGTTGAAAATGCGCACATCTTATGACCCAGTGATTCTAGATGTACCTTTTAAAGAACACTTGGGCACAAGAAAACACATATGAAGATGTTTATTGTAGCCATTGTGAAAACATTTAAAACAACTTAGGGGAATGGATGAACTGTAGTATATCAATATAGTAGGTTGCTGCATAGATGTTAAAATAGTTGATCTATGTCAATATGTTTCGATATCAATAAATTAAAAAAAATTTTAATGTTTTATTTATTCTTGAGAGAGAGAAAGACAGAGCATGAGCAAGGGAGGGGCAGAGAGAGAGAAGACACATACTGAAGCAGACTCCAGGCTCTGAGCTGTCAACACAGCACCCAACGTGGGGCTCGAACTCACAAGCTGTGAGATCATGACCTGAGCTGAAGTCAGATGCTCAACCGACAGAGCCACCCAGGCACCCCATCAATATCAATAAATTAAAAGCACATTGTTGAGTGGGGAAAGAAACAGTGACAAAATAACTTACACATGCATCCAGAAAACAGCTTAAACACACAAACCTAAAAGATGTTTCTGGGAAGTCCAGTTGCACACTTGATTGAGAACAGTGTCAGTTAAGTAAACAGATGTGTTCATCATACTGTCATGTAAAAAACTATTGAAAAATATACTAAATAGTGATTAAAAAAAAATAATACATATAATACCCTGTTTGGATAAAAACTTTCAAAACAGAACATATCATGTTGTTTACAGGTATATATGTGTGTAGTAAAAGTAGAAAAATAGGCGTGTGAAGCATACATACCAATTTCATTAAAATGGTTATCTCTAGAGAGGGGAATAAGATAGAATGGGAGGAGAGGGGGGCTTTAGATGTCGGAAGCAAATATGACAGGTATAAACATTTGTTTAATCTGGGTAGAAGACACAAAGGTATCTTGTATGTATTCTATATCTGTATATGAACGTTCACGATCTAAAATTTAAAAATAAACAAAAAGTTTAGTACCTAACAGCCTTGCTCCCTTTTCTGACTGGGTTTATGCTGCGCTCTTTAAAAACATCTATGCCCACTACCCACTGAGCACTGAAGAATATCAGAGTCAGGGCTGGAATTTGCTTCTGGTCAGTCCAGGATTCTGGAACTCAGGACTCAAAAGCCCTGCTTCCCAGATAAGGTGTTTCTCAACCATTAGACCGAGAACATACGTGAATTTCTCTTTGTGAATTATCTGTGACCTAGTTAAATTTCCAGCAAGGATCTCAGGCCACAGAATTTTGAGGAAATCTGTTCTGTCACCTATTGACTTCTCAGCCTCAATTCTTCATCCTCTGTAAGATGAAGGTACTGGTATAATGTCCCAGAGTGTGTGTGTAGGAGACGGCATTTTTATTTCTCAAGCTCTCTGCATTTTGTATTCAGAGGCTATTGTTAATAAAGTTAGATTTCCTTGGGCATAAGCAGCCCTTTGGCAACAGTAGCTACTTCTAAGTGGTTTGATGCTGTCTCTACCTGCGTGGCCTTGGGCAGGAACCTAAACTTCTGTACCCTTTGGGGAATCTCAGTAGGGAGAGAATGAACTGGCTTTAACCCCAAAGGGCCATCTAACACATACTCTCCAGCCTTTGCTCTGGCTCCTTGAATAGCGCAAGGAGCTTGCCTCTGAATTTCAGGCGCTGTGTTGCCCTTCTCTTCCCTAGAGACAGGATAGCCTCAGTCTGGGTTGACAAGCAGAAGGGGCTGCAGCCCTAAGAAGCAGGAGTGATGACATTTAGCCCTCTCTGCTCCAACCCTCCTGGCCCTCACCAAGTGTTGAAGACTGCTTTCTTTGCTATAGCAGCCAGCTGGCAGGAGGAGGACAGGTTTGATGGTTTAATCACCCAGGGACACAAGTGGCTATTTTTAACTGCTCCGAAAGGGAGGAAGTTGGCTCTGGATTGAATTGGACGCAGGAATGTGTTGGAAGCTTTAGCTCTTTCATGCCACCCTCTCCACCTCAGGCCCCTTTTATAAGGGTCTGCCGAATGTTTGTGACTCTGTCCTATCTTTTCTGTCACAGAATTATATAGCTACACTGAAAACCTGGAATTTACCACTAACAGGAGGTGCTTTGAAGAAGATTTCAAGACTCAAGGTGATCCCAGATTCTTATTAATAGAAACCTGGTTTTCCCTCAATGATATCCCAGCCTGATCTAGAAAAGCCCAAAACAAAGTATGACCCTTCTTCATCCTCTCCATAACCATGTAATTTCTCTATTCCTCCTTTCATACGGGACACAGAGTTTCCTATATCTCAATTGGGGAGGCCATGGATGGAAGCAAGAGAAGCCTGAGCTGGGTCCCTTTCACTGATGTAAAGGGCCCAGAGAGCCGAGGGATGGGGACTGGGCAGGTACCCTGCTACCTGGTAAAACCCTGTGCCTAGTGTAGTCCTTGACCTTGACATTCAACCCCTGCCTCCAACTCTGCCTCACTCCTAATAACATCTAATAATATTTCATGTGCCCACACTGCAATCCTCTCAGACCTCCATTTCCTTACTTGGTCAGTGAATTCAATTTGCAATTCAACAGATGTGTGGTGAGTACTTTTTTGTGCCGGAGATGCAGGGGGCAGGGGTGAAGGTGAATTTGCAGTATCTTCAAAGAGATTATAGTCCAGTGGCAGAGTGGAGGTGTGTACATCACAAAACTGAGGCCAAGAGGAAAAATGGTAAGTATCATAAGAGAAGTAAAAAGTTTCTTGGGGGACAGAGCTGGCTGGAGCATTAGTGGAAAAGAGGTAATTTAGTATTGAACCTATAATGATGAATAGAAATTGGATAGGTAGGGAGAGAGAGAGAATTCCTTGAAAAGGCAGAGATAGGATGGAATAGACTGTGTGTGGAGAATAAAGGGAATATGGAGGAAGATAAGGCTGCAGAGTGGGTTCAGCCAGAACTTTTTGGGTCCTTTACTTTGCCAATCTCTTAGTGGAATCTTCTCAGCTAAATAAGGAAAGCTTTTGGAGAGAAGAATTTGTTGGGGGCTGGGATCAGAGATGGATATGCTATCAGGAGCCTTTCCAGGAAGGGGAAGCAGAAGCTGACACTGGATCTGTATGGTTTTCTGTCCCCAGTGCAGGGCAAGGAGTGGCTGGAATTGGAGGAAGATGCTCAGAAGGCCTATGTGATGGGACTCCTAGACCGACTGGAGGTGGTCAGTAGGGAACGGCGACTGAAGGTGGCCCGGGCTGTTCTCTACCTGGCCCAAGGCAAGTGACCACCTTTGCCAGCTTGAAATGGCTGAAAACCAGGGAGAGAAATGTTGTTATCAGGACTAGGATGAGGCAAGCCAGGCTGAAAAAGCACGTTCCCTGCCTCTCAAAGACAGATCTTATCAAGTGCTAGAAGTAATCTGGTGCTTATGAGGAGGTTAAGGAGATGGTGGTGGGTACTATTCCGGATCCCTTGGAATTGGCCTTTATCTTACCGGGCATGCCAAGATTTCTTATAGGGTTGTTTATTTCTTCATGTGGGCTGTGATCACATGTGGAGATTTAGCAAGCGAATCAGTGTGGCTAGAGTTGATGATGCACCACCAGCCGAGCACGGAGGCTTCTTTCATCAGCTATGGCGCAGGCTTCCACTGAGGGGAGGCAGTGGAGTACCTCAGAGTCACAGATGGTGGACCCTCTGCATTATTTCTTATTTGCATTTAGAAGGTTCAAGCCAGCATAGCAGCAGGAGTGGATACAGTGGGTAATTGGGAGATGATCAGAACTCCGGTGGGATTAATTGAGGAAATCTTCTCAGAAGAGACCTATTAGCCAGGTGTTGGAAAGAGAAATGAGATAGCCTAGCTGGAATAGTAAAAATAAGCCCTGAGATCATAATAAGAGGACTGTTGGCGGAACCAACTAGCTGGGAACTTAAAAAACTATAAAAGAAAATAATAAATGGAGAGGGAAGAGAATGGTGAAGGGAAGACTGTAGCAAAAAAAGCAGCGCCTAACCATCTCTCTTGGGTCTGGTGCTCTGGCCAACTTCCAACTGCCAGTACCTTCAACTTTTTACCTGAAAGCTTTGTCTGCAGCCTATATGGGGTAACCAGAAAGTGCTAGGGAATTCATGTAGCACTGATCACTGACTGACAGGAGTTAGTGGGTAAATAGCCCAACTACCTCACTCTTCTTGGGTGGGAGGATTCTGAGGTGTGTAAAATACATACTGTTTCCCAGAGCTTCCCCCAACCTGGGTTTCAGCTCTTGGCTGCCTTCTCTTCCCTATCTCATTTCCCCACGTCTCAACTAGGATCATCTCCCAAATAAACTACTTGCATTTTTAATCGTTCTCTCTGGATCTGCTTCTCAGGGAACTCAAACTTAAGACAGACCAGTGATAAGCACATTGGACCTGACTCTGGAGACTGCTTCTCCTCTTTTGAAACTGGCTCATTCAAAGTTCTGGAGGTTCTGGCTCTGGAAGTTCTGGAGGGCCTTGCCCTACCTTTGTCAGCCTAATTGTTGGGCTAGGTGTTGAAAGATAGTCTTAAGATCATGGGGAAGAGTGGAAAGAACTGGGATACCACTCTCACGTACAATTCCATGGCACTGTCTGGTCCTTTAGGCACTTTTGGGGAATGTGATTCAGAGGTCGATGTGCTACACTGGTCCAGGTACAACTGCTTCCTGCTCTATCAGATGGGGACCTTCTCGGCCTTCCTGGAGCTGCTCCACATGGAAATCGAGTGAGAAGCCTAGGGGAGGGCTGGCCTAGACAACCCCCTTCCTTGAAGGGTGCCTCATGTCCTGTGCTGATTCCCTCTCTATAGAGACCTCTGTGGGAGCAGGGTCTATTCATACTTCAGTCCAAAGCTTACTGATAGTTCCCCTCTCCAGCCATGCTCTCTGATATTCTGTCTTCCTCCCTGAGATTGGGCTCATCAACAGCTTCTGCCCTACTTACAGCTTCGATCCTGGGCTTCAGGGCCCTATCCTGGGTGGGTTCCCTTTGTATCTAAACACCTTCTTAACTCAGCCTAAGTGGAATCCATGAAGGAGACTGTTCTACCTGAGAACATGACCCAAGAGGAACAGGACCAATTTCTGTTGCTGTGCCCAGTTCTTTCCTTGTGGGTCATAGCTCTAAAGGTGGCCTTGGTTGCTGCTGCCACTATAGTGATCCCTCATTTTATCTCAAGCCCATCACCCAGGAGTTTAAATAGGGCAAATTTAAAGGGTTGCTTAGCATCTACTTTGTGTCCAGCACAGTACTAGGCACAATGTGGATTATAGGAGGGATTGTCACAGACCTTGCCCTTGCCCATCTTTACCACAGACAAGCATTTACTGAGATGGCAGAGGAATTCTGTGGGCTCATTTACCTTAGACCAGTTTCTTTTAGCTACATAGCCAGGGAATAGCAGGTACTCAGGTTTGGGTATATGATAAGTGGGGACGCAGGATGTAAAGAGGATATCTGAGTTCTGCTTCTCTCTCTCCTCCCCACGGCAGCAACAGCCAGGCCTGTAGCAGTGCTCTTCGGAAACCAGCCATCTCCATTGCTGATAGCACAGAGCTCAGGTGAGTGGAGCTGGCCCTGGGATTGGAACAGGGGGTGGTCAGCAATGGGTTACCCTTTGCCCAAGTTCCCCAGATACACCCAGATTACTAATAGTTGCTAATTCCACTGGGTTGAGCTCCCACACGAATCCTCCCTGAGGTCTCTGACTACAGGTTAGGAGCTGCTTTGGGAACCTTTTGTAACCCTTCTATAACCCCAGGGTGCTGCTGAGTGTCATGTACCTATTGGTGGAAAATATCCGCCTGGAGCGAGAGACAGACTCCTGCCGGTGGAGGACAGCACGAGAGACCTTCCGCACTGAATTGAGTAAGAAGTGGCATTTGAGGAAGGAAGGGGATGAGGTGCTGGTAGTGGAGGGGCATCTGCATAGTGGAAACAGAAAGCTCCCCTTCCTGCCAGCCTGCCTGCCTTCCTTCCTTCCTCACTTCCTCCCTCCCTCCCTCCCTGCCTCCCATTCTTCCTTCCTTCCTTTTTCAGAATTGGCATCCATTCTTTTATTCTTACTTTTTAAAAAATGTTTATTTTGAGAGAGAGAAAGAGAGAGTACACAGAGGGGAAGGGCAGAGAGAGTGGGGGAGAGAGAATCCATGCTGTTAGCACAGAGCCCAATGTGGGGCTGATCTCATGAACTCCAAGATCATGATCTGAGCTGAAACCAAGAGTCAGGCACTTAACCAACTGAGCCATTTGTTGCTCCTATTTTTTTTTTTTTTTTAAAGTAGGCTCCTCACAGGGAGCAGAGCCTAACGCAGAGCTTGAACTCACAACCCTGAGATCAAGACTTGAACTGAGATCAAGAGTTGGATGCTTAACCAACTGAGCCACCCAGGCGTCCCTAGCATCCATTCTTTTAGGGCAGAGATACTGTGTGGCAGGCATGAAGACCTGGCTTGACTGCCCTTGTGTCTATGAATTAGGACCAATTACGTGTCATTTCTGTGCCTTGGTTTCCTTGGTTATAAATGGGGATAGCCATCCATCTCACATTTCATCATCAATCTCACATGAAAAAATAAGTTGAATCAACTTGAAAATGTTAGTTGTTGGGGCGCCTGGGTGGCTCAGTCGGTTGAGCGTCCGACTTCGGCTCAGGTCACGATCTCGC